TGCATTGTGTGTCATTCAAAACTACTGAAATGTTTTATGTTTGTTTTTAAATATGACATGTTTTTAAAGTCATTATGTATACATATTTTATATTCAAATAACAAAATGAAATTGTTTTCTAATTGGTGTATACATGATTACTAATAATTCTGTAAATTGAATTTGATGAAAGAAAAAAATATATTAGTGTTACTGTACTTTATGACTAGCACAGGAAAGTAGTAATGAGTGAACATTTAATTTTTAATACTAAAATAAGATAAACTGCATGTTAGTTCACTACGGTTCACTAAGGATTCACTGTGCCACCTGGCAGCTTTACAAAGTAGTGCAATCCTGCGTCAGATTATTAGGATGGTATCTTTCAACATACTGCGGCATGTTCTAGCGGTATTAGGTTTTTGTCTATAATCAGAGCCAAATAATTTTAGTAATCAAAATACCTTGGAATGGGGAACTACAAATCACGATTTGTGCATACACCAATATTATGAACTCCCACCACAAATTGATTTTACTACTTTGAACAATTAAATAAACTAATTATTAAGCTAGAAAACTTGTATTAACCATCTTAGAAGAGAACACATAATAAACAACTTACAAACAAGAACAAGATGCACACATTTTATATAACATTAAATGTGAATCAGTTAACGTCTAGTAAAACACCTCAAGTAGTCTGTGTTCCCAGCTAGAAAATGTGGCTTATCTACTGTTCTCCAGTTACATGGATCAAACAGATTTAAACTAAATGAAATACATATACATTATTACAGTTACTTGATTTGTTTTGAGATCACTTGTCCTGCACTTCTTTTTTGCCCTTCATTTTCTCAGTGCCCATTAGGCACAATCTTTTGGAGGATAAATTGCTTTTACCAGTTGCAACTACATGATTTTAATTTAAACCATTACAACATAGTTTGCAATACAAGTAAAAGGTCACTAGTAATGTTTCATTACATGTTAAATGTAATGGAATATTAATAAAATTGATCATCACAACATTTACTACCTTCCAAAATTAAACAAACTGCATCCAGTGCAGAAGCAGCTGAAACCACACAGAAGTTGTCATCATACGGTGAAGGTGAGACATTTACTACATCAACAGTCAAACAAACCACTACACTTACATTCACAACTTATTATATTACAATTTAACTAACAAACAGCCTAGACTAGCACAGCAGCAATAGAAATAGCCACTGAAGGGAATTTTTCACTCACATTTAATGTGCGTATTAAAACAATATCTCGTCTTGCACATTGAGGGGGTCCCCTGGTGATCTCAGGGCCCTAGGTAGTCACCTAGTTGGCCTGTGCCCAGGGCTGGTCCTGTTTGCAGGTACAGTAAACCCTCAGTTTGACAGGCTTCACATAACAGAGTGTGGATTAAACAGACAATCTTTTAAAGGGGAATTTTGTCTGTATAGTCAGAAATGCCTTTCCTTTCCCTGCAATAATGAGGAAATGCACAGATATTAAAATACTCACACCCGAAGAAGGCTCCATGGCCGAAACCTTGTGTTTTCTTTCTTCTTTTTTTCAGCATGGAATAAACCTATTACTTGATATTAAAATAAGTTAAAATAGGCTTAAAAATAAAATTCAGTTAATTACTGGTGCACTTTTGGGATGGGTCATTTGCTTGATAGGTTTCATATGCTTCAGTGAGGCTTATGCAGCACAGTATATTTATGACACGTTAAATACTGTAGCGCTCTCGAGTTCACGTGGGTATGTGCCCTTGCCGCTGCCACCTCAGGTTGGCCCCCCACCACTGGGGACTCAAACCCGGGCCTCCGGATTCACTCAACAGACACAGTGACCCAGCCAGTTGAGCTAAAGGGAAATCTCCCGTCAGCCTGACAGCTGCAGTACCTGCTAGTCACAGGTGTAGGCATCCTCTCACGAGGCACCAATAAATGTAGGGGTTTTGTGCATTTACTGGGACAATTATTAATTGTAGCAGTAAGTCACAAAATGATTCTTTGATGGCTATTAGAAGATCGACCTTGTGCAACGCACACACACGGATATTAATAAACGACAATACATTTATTAGTACATAAAATGTGCATAAACATAACAAATCTTATAGTGAGGATTAGCAGAATACAAAAGGTATAAATTCAATCACGAAGAGTTACAAACCAAAAGGGACATACACTCAGTATACCATGCATTTAGACCATTTTGTAAATGAACTTGGATTACAACTTCTACACTAGTAGATCACTCATAGGAATTAAATTGATATCAACTGGGGTTGAAGTAACAATTGAATTCTTGAGCTGTAATGCAGAAGGTTGAATACTCATCCAATCTGTGGGTATTCAGATCTCCCGTGGACACAAAGAAACAGTGGCAGGCTGTTGCTGTGTCCAATCGGTGCTCTCTGGCCCGGTGCCAGGCAGTGCTGGTTCGGCATGAGAGAAATGAGAGAGATTCCTGCTGCGATGCTCTGGTAGTAGGCTTAATGTTGGCTGAAACTAGTGAGACATTGTGCACATGAGAAAAGTGACTGCGGGTCCAAGCATGTCACACTCTTTAGACAGGAAGAAGACCGGTTCGTTCCTGATGTAGCACTAGTCTTGAATATTGATATTCAGCTGTCCACAGTTCCGACCGTAGTTCACTTGTTGATCAGGTGAGCGTTCACGGTGGGTTCATGAGGCTTGCTGCTGGACTAACCTCAGGCGGATCCTTTGGTTATACGCTGGCGACCTCTGTTCTCGACTCTTAGAACAAAGGAAAGTCCTGGCACTCGGACACACTGACCATTACGTGGTTGTCCAAGCTGAGTCTGAGAATGTCCAGGAGGTGCACAGAGGAGCCCTGTGCTGCCTCTTTTACCTGGAGGAACTACGGTCGTTCATTGGCTGAAAGTTCCGTGGACATTCAAGACCCACGTGGGGTTAACCTACCCTACCAGTTCCTGATTGGCTGAGGATGAGTAACAATGCACTCTGACCTTAGAGTTGTAAACAACTTGGGATGAGACTCTCCCTTGGAATCTCCCAGACAGTAAGGGGCCGGAGATGACCATTTATTAGGGTTGCTGGAGAATATCAGCTTTGGGAGTTGTTCCTTATCAGGACACTCTATAAACTAGAAAAACACCTTAAATGTGAACCAAATGGAATGCCCCCTCTGTATCCACCACCACTGAGATGAGAGACAGAGGGACTGGGAAGGAAGCAACAAACTTAATTCCTGTGTTTTTAATAAGCCGGCAAGGCTACACAGGGAAGGGTGGTGATGTCACCGCGCTGGTAAGCCGGCTCGAACAACCTGCAATGTCGGCCGTATGCATTACAATACAGAGCTTGTATTGTATATTTATGACAAGAATGAGAAAAATTAAGAAAATTTGACGTTCCAGATTGTTCGCCTGCCTCAACACCTACCTACTCCTGTGTCTGCACAGGTCTCTCATACAGATCTGTGAGTAACCTCTCCACCGAGATGATAAATGCTCTTTATTTATTTATTTTTTTAGTTTTAGCAAACAGCAAATTCACACAGGAAAGCTCATTCTAAGTTTCCATATTAGGAGTTGTTTTTCTCTCTACAAACATTTCTTTGTAATTGACCACGTTCTTCTTAAGAAGCAGTTCTACCTTGCATATAGACAAAAGGAAGTATATAAATAAAAGGTGTGAAATGAGCTAGACATTCTGCAGTTTGTAATATTAATGTTAGAAGGTCAAATAATATGGTTGAATTATCCTTTTATACTGTTGCTAAGCAAAAAGCATATGAGCTAATAAAAATAGTCACTATTTTATATACTTAATAAAAAAGGCAAATGCTAAAATTCTTCCTCAGTGGGCTGAAAAGGAATGAGTAATAGGTTTATTCCATGCTGAAAACAGAAAAAAGAAAACAATTTTTTGGCCGTAGAGACTTCTTCAGGTGTGAGTGAAGTCCAGACCCTCACACCTGAAGAAGTCTCCACGGCCAAAACATTGTGCAATCTATATATACAGTAATTGTATGTTTTGGGTTAGGGAAAAAAATGTCACTGATTTAACACATTCGACAATGTACCCCTTCCCCCTATTACTGTGTTCACTCAGATAGCCCTTGTTTCTTAATTTTCATTGGAGTTGATTTATATTTCTCCTATGTGTTACTGTGTTGTTACTTTATTTTTATCAACCAAATTCATGTGATTCTGAAGGTGAGCTAATTTAGAATCGTTGCTACAAGGGTGTGGGCTCTTATCTTACCAATTTCAGTTTCTAGATCTACTATTTGCTAAAAAAGTTGTAGAATATTTTTCACTTGGATGTTGAGGGGTATGATGTTAGATTCATACTTTAAGGCAACAAAAGGTGACAATTTTGAAAGAGTTCTATAGGCACAGTATAAATACTCATTTTTGTTTGCTGTGCACATTTAACTGTTGTATTAATACATTATTGTGTACTTTTAAACCATGTGCCAATAGTGCTGATACTGTTCTATTTTCTAATTGTTCCAGTAAATTCAACAATCATGTCACTACAGTGGATAAATATTTTAAATATATGCAAGAATTATGACACATTTGCCTTTTGTCACAATGGTCTGTCAACATCTTGAACTAATTTCAACTGAAGCTTTCTGAGATCCAGGATAGAGCAGAACCAGACTCCATTCTAGGGAATGAAAATATTCCCTGCAAGGAAGCTCTCCCCCTGCGAGGGTGAGTCTGTGAGAGAGCAGAACATGACTATCAGAGGGCCACTAAAAATAAAGGATTGCTACCTGGAGCTCCAGCTCTGACTCTGATGGACTGTATTTTATGGACCGTGTCCATCTGTTCTGATTGGGTATTGCACTTGCAAATGTAAACGTCAATAGCTGATGTCCCTGTATGAAATATGTCATCACATCACATAACAGTGATAACAGGATTTCTCCTGCAGCCTCAGACTGTGTTCTGTCTTTTCTGTCTATCATGTGTTCTGTCTGTTTTAGGGTGGCTTGAGACACTGAAAGACAAACACAAGGAAGCTCTAGAGAGGAAGTTTGAAGTTGTGTCTGAGGGAATTGCTAAGCCAGGAGAGCAGACCCTCCTCAATGATGTCTTTACACACGTGTGGATAACTGAGGGCAGCTGTGGTAAGGTGAATCATGGACATGAGGTCATGCAGGTAGAAACCGTCTCCAAAAGTACAAAATCAGAGACCCATTCCATCAAGTGCTGCGATATTTTCAAGCCACTGCCAGGACAGACCAGACCAATCAGGACTGTACTGATGAAGGGACTTGCTGGCATCGGGAAAACATTCTCTGTGCAGAAATTAATTCTCGACTGGGCTACTGGAAAAGACAACCAGGACTTTGACTTTATATTTTTTCTTCCATTCCGTGAATTAAACTTGATCACATCAGAAATGAGTTTACAGGAACTGGTTCAGTGTTTCTGTCCAGAGATAAAATCCTCTAATGTTTTAGATTACTGTAAAGTCCTTTTTATCTTTGATGGTCTGGATGAAAGCAGACATCCTTTGAACTTTCAAACAAACCAGATCTGGTCTGATGTGAAAAAGCAAACTTCAGTGGACCTGTTGTTA